CAACTTATGAAAAATTAATTATGAAACTTAAACTTATAAACTCGAATAAATACACAAAACAGTACATAAAAGCAAAAATTTCATAATTGTGTTATAATACAATTTCTCGAGACCCCACTCCTAGAGTCGAACGCGAAATTGCCCATGTCATCAAACAATCCGATCTTTCCGATGATATTAAGAAGTCCATAGTTCCGAAAAACTCCATCTGCCCCAGAATTTATGGTCTTCCCAAAATCCATAAAGATAACGTACCTCTTCGTCCCATTGTGACTACGATTAACTCTCCTACCTACAAACTCGCAAAGTACTTGTCGAATCAGTTTAAGACCTATACTGGTCGTACCTCTTCTTATGTCCGAAATTCCACACATTTCATCACCTTAATCTCCTCTCTCACAGTCGATCCCCAAGACATTCTCGTCAGTTTCGATGTATCATCCCTATTTACCAATATCCCCATACATGACTCTCTAGTTGTTCTGCGAGATCACTTGACCAATGATAACAAGTCTTTGGTTTTGGCAGATCTTGCGGAAAAATGCCTCCTTTCAACATATTTTTCTTTTAGAGGCAATTTCTACAAACAAATATCTGGAACACCAATGGGTTCTCCCCTTTCCCCTGTCATTGCTGACATTTTCATGGAAGCCTTTGAGTCTTTAGCCCTAGAATCTTACCCCTTAAAACCAAAAGTCTGGTTCCGCTACGTTGATGATACATTTATCATCTGGCCCCATGGTCAACATACCCTTTCTCCCTTCCTAGATCATCTTAACTCACAACATCCGAGTATTAAATTCACAATGGAAGTAGAAAATAATCGGTCCCTTCCCTTTCTCGATGTGTTAGTCACCTCCAAGCCCAATGGCCGATTGGGTCACTCTGTTTATAGAAAAAAGACTCACACGAATCGTTACCTACATGCTTCATCACACCACCATCCTGCCCAAAAGAATTCTGTGATCAACTCTCTCATCCATCGGGCCATTTCGATTTCTGAACCCGACAATCTTAGAGAAGAACTTGGCCATCTGCAAAAAACCCTTGTCGCCAACGGTTACTCCAAGTCCACAATTCAAAATATTACACACCGACATCTACATCCCCCTTTACATCCTAGGACGACAAATTCAGAATCTTCGGGTAATACTCCTGTGGCTTTTCTTCCGTATATTCGAAATGTCACTGATAGGATTGGCAAAATTCTTCGCAAAGAAGGTATCAGGACTACTTTTCGACCACCCAAGAGAATCTCACAATATCTACCCTCTCCTAAGGACCCATTACCGCCCCTATCTTCCTGTGGTGTCTATTCTATTCCATGTTCATGTGGACATGTGTATATTGGCGAAACTGGTCGTTCCGTCAAAACTCGGATTCAAGAGCATCAAAGATGCATTCGATCAGGTCTTTTCTCCCATTCTGCAGTTGCAGAACACTGCCAAGAAACCGGTCATTCCATATTGTTCGAAAAAACCCATATTATTTCTAAAAGCCCCTTCTTTTATTCCAGGAAAATCCGCGAATCTCTAGAGATCCGAAAAAATCCCCATAATATCAATCGAGAGGAAGGATACTACTTGTCTCCCATCTGGAATCTCAGTCTAGAACCGCCGTCCGGTCCCGCCCCCACGATGCAGCCACATGATTGGCCAGCGCGCGCTTCTTGACGTTCGCGTCACGAAGTGTGCCGATACGTCCCGACACGACAGGCACCGCGACTATAAATAGAGCGGTAGCGGAGTAATCGTCGGATTCACTCCCCGCCTCTCGACGCGTTAGTGTTCTGAGCTGTTGGACGTGAATCCCTGTCCTGGCATTTGGTTTTCACCTCTGGCTGCGTTGAGTAGTTGAGTTACTGTGACCAAATGCCCATCTTGGTAGTTAGTATTCGCCTCTGGTTGCGTTGAGTAACTGAGTTACCGTTGCTAACTACCCATCTTCCTGTTCTTTTGTTTTCTTCTTTCTTTTTTTCCTTTTTTTGTTCTCCTGAAGAAGCTACATACAATCGAGATGAACCCACTTTTGGGTCACTCACAAATGACACGGTCCAAACCCGGAAGACGAATAAACTATAATAAGCATGAATCATTTTTCAATGATTTTATGGATTTAAGAAATACATTAGTAAACAAATTTTTTAAGTGTGTCTAAAATCTTTATTGTCTTTTTTCCTGAGATTACAATTATTATGATACATGGTATTTACTCCTTATTTTTCAAATAATATGTTCTTGTAAATGCATACCATTGATTATTGGATAAACCTACATTATACGATACGTCAGAATAAATTAAAAAAATTAACATGTAATAAATTCACTGTTTAAATAAATATTCCGCTCTCGTACTATTGTAATAAAATTATAAACCAATAAACGATAACTAATTGAGCAGTGCTGATTGAAATAACAGAGCAATAAAATCTTATTCAAAAAGGTAGTGTAAAATACATCGCCGCTTATCTGGTCCACTAGTAATAAAGTTACCAGCATTTAATTGCAAAGCGGCCTTCTTAGGTGAAAAATCCTTTACTTAAACTCTCTGTACAATTGATTTTTTTGTACTTTACAAAAAGAATGTAAATATGTCTTACGAAATAATAGTCAAATTTGACTTTTTATGGAAAAATTTAAATAGTTTTTTGGGTTTTTTCGATTTTTACGGGAAGTGAAAATAGCACAGTTCTTATTGTTTTATCGAGCTACCGCAATTTAAAATCTAGCGCGTGCCATAGAAACCAACAGATTACAAAACTTTTGAGCGTGCTCCAATTTGAAGTTGCATTCTAAAAAAAAAATCGAGCTCGGACAGGCGCTATCATTTTAAGAGTTATATGTTTTTACTTCTCGGTAAATGCATCTATAAAATTGATCATAAAATTTAGATCTTCGTTTATATGTTCAATTTTCAACTCTTAATGTTAATGAACAATGGAAACATGATTTTAAGAATAAAAATTGACATCGCACTCTGGTATGAACAAACTCCGATTCGAGCTAGCTGAGATTTATCACACTTAAGTAATTCATTAATTGCCATAAGTGCAAGTAGTATATTACATGTCAATGTGCAAAGAACAAAGTTAATACCATTTATAAAATACTGCAAAAATAAGGGCTTTTTGCAATTATCTCGGTCAATGGTTCATGCATTTTAATTTAGAAACTCGCAAATTAAAGAACGCCTACCTGCTAAACCAAACCTTCCTCTGTTATCCAGCGATCCGGAAGCTGAATGGCCGCTGTAAGGCCAGCACCACTTCCGAAGCACTACCTTCATTCATTTTCCATTCATCCACATTTTCAATCATTCTCTTAATCATTTCTCTCACTGTAACAAAATTCACAACTGTCTCTTTTTCTATTCTGTTCCTTTATAGTTATCTGTTGCAACCTAACAACGTATGTGTCACAGTTTCCGAGTATCCACAGTATAGACATTCATCTGTGTCAGCCTTTCCGAACCTAGAGATGTAGGCCCTAAAACACCCGTGTCCTGTGAGCACCTGCGTCAGGAAATAATCCAGTCGCCTGTGGCCACAGTCTACCCAATCTCTTATGTTCGGGATAAGCATTTTCATCCACTATGCCACATCCTCCATGTTGTTCCATTCTTCTTGCCATCTTTTAATTGACCTTTCCCTTTACTGTCTTCTCTCGGCCATAATAAGGTTTGGGCCTCTTCTCTCGTAGAGCTCTTTTCTTTCCACCTCTAAAAAATGCAACGGAACGCATTCAGTGATGGTCCACAAGGTTACCGCAGACACAGTCCTGTAGGCGCATGCCACTCGCAACAGACTTTTTCTATCCACTCGTATCATAAGCCTCCTATAGGCCGTTATCTCTACAGCCCCGCTCCAGACTGGTGCCGCGTAGAGGACGATCGACTGTACAACACCGTGTACGACCCTCCTTCTTTCGTATTCAGGTCCCCCAAAATTGGTCATCAGCCTCCCCAACACAGCCGCACTATTCGCAGCCTTTCAGGCCACCTCCCGCACGTGCTTCCCCCATATTCCATTCTAGTGCAATGTCACTCCTTGGTACTTTACGTGGTTCTTGGGTGTTAGACATGCTCCCGCACATTGTAATTCAACACTTTGTCTGTTCCTTTTCCCCTACAGAATGATGGCTTCGGTTTTCTCATCCCTCATATACCTGACTGAACCTTAGAAACCTTGTACAATATTTTTTCAGTTTTGTTTTGTCCTTTACTGGCTTATTTCTGAAGTGCAAAACAAAACATCGAAATAAACCTTTTTTAAACTTAAATTGTGGATAATTTTAAATCGAAATAGTAAATGACTGTCTTATAATGTCTACTGGTATGGTTCTGTCATAAATAGATGTAAAAAGTCAATATGGTGGAAACAATAGAAATGAGATGATATTACAATTAGAGAAGTCAAACATAAAGTAGTCTATAAGAAGAAGAATGCAAAAACAAACGCAAAAAAAATACAACCAAGAAAATGTGGATAAATATAATCAAATCATAAAGACAGAGACATACTTTGGGAGATAACAAGCTGTTCAATATTTGTTGTTACTTGTTAAAATGTTTGTTGCAATTAACACTTATCTGTGATCTTTGAGCTAAGATTTCAACGTAAAAAATTTAACAAATTTCAAGAAAATATACGTAAATTAAATATACAAGAATTTAGAAAATAAAAAAAACTGATTTCATTGTAAATTACATAAAACATTCAGGACCACTCCCTGATACCACATTATCGGCAAATTTCGTAATAATTTTGTAGTCCATCTCCAATCTATAGTTGTTTACGTGTTGACATAAGTAATATAACCTTTCATCTAACCTTCAATATCTTCCGTTATCGAAAAAGATTGTTTCCTAAAAGTCATGCAATTCATCTTAACATTTTATCTGTGTCAAAGATATTTTGTCAAATTAACCTTTGTTTTGAGACAGGTTCAAGAAATTTAGATAGCAGAAACTATATATAAACTAAATTTATAACTCATATTTTTGTAGTTGGTTTTGGCAAAACGATAGACTGACAAAATGAACAAATTTCTAGTAAGCCTCGGTTTGGTTGTTCTTGGTAAGTACTAACATAAAAATTTGTATAATTTATTATTCATTAGTAACTCTAGTATAGCTGTCTTCTTTTTAAGGTTCCGGTCACAGGTGTATGTCATTATAGGTTTTATAGCAGCTTTATATATTCTTGATTTAGCCTCAATGCCAATGTTTTTATTACGTCATATTGTATTGTTTAGAGAGTCAAATATTTTCGTTGTTTTCGTTGTTTGTTCTCTCCCTTCTGCTTAAACCTCACCATAGCCTAATAGTTTTATACCTAAGTATTTAAATTTCATCTCTTGCTGAATAATTGATCCATTTACCACGAGTGTACATCTTACAGGTTTCTTTGATGTTGTCATACATTTTATTTTACCAGCTAATAACCCCATGTTGAACGATTTAGCTTTGCATTTAAGTAGTTGTAGGTCGTATTCCGTTTTCAGCAAAACAATACAGCGTCATCTGCATAACACAAGATTTTAATCTCTTTGTCTTCCATCCTATATCCTCTCATTTTTCGTACTTTCTTTATTATCTTATTCATAATAGAATCATAGTAACGGGCTCAGTAAGTCACTCTGACGAATGCCATTCTCAGCTAGTATTGTATTGGTGATCATCAATATTACCCTGTCTTCTGCGTTTAAAGTTGAACATAGGCTTCCCCTAATTTCTTTCGGTTCTGTCGGTCTTAAGCTTTTTGCAACCAATTTTACCTCTGCTTCTTTTGTCTGTTCGGGGTCTTCACACTGTAATTTTTTGGGTTCACCGCTCGTCATTCATTCTGGCCACACAGCCTGCTAGTTTCACTTTCCTTCTTATTCATTTGTTTCTAACCTTGTCTCTGAGAGCTAGTCCAAGTAAAGACCGTTCCATTGTTCTTTAGGCCTCTCTGAGTTTGTTTGCTCTGGCCGTGGTTAAGTAAATTATTTCTGCGCCGTGGGTCATGACTAAAAGCACACATTAGTCAAACGTCTTCTTTTCCTCAGAAATAATTTGGCATGTTACTCTTGAAGATTTGTGATAGAGCCTTATATTGGGCCCATGCCAAAGTGATTCTTATTTTGAGTTGAGTTGTTTGTTTATCCCTGGTGATTTGGATTTTATGACCTAAATATGTATATATATATATATATATATATATATATATATATATATATATATATGAACTAACGCTATTTCGTTATAGCCTACTTTTGGATTTTTGCTTGGTACCAGATTTGTCATGTGTCTTTCCAAAATTTACGTTTTAACCCACTTCCTTATAGGCACAATCTAACTAAGTAAGCATAATTCCGATTATTTTTAAGATATCTGTTATTAGAACTAGGTCGTGCGTAAACTGTATGTGGAAGAACATTTCTACATTTCTAATTGTTTGAGACATGTAGAACTGCCGTAAAGAGTTTGGGAGATGTATGTAATCTTACGGTCATGGTTACATTATTGTATGTGTTTTCGATTAGTTTGGAGTAACGATCATTTATACGAGTTTCCTCTACCTACGGTCTCATTACTCTATTAATTTCTATAGTATCGAATACTTTGCGAAAATCTACGGAGGCCAGGATAAATGGTCGTTTTTATTCCCTGTTGCTCTGTTCCCTTGGTGAAAATCTAATTTTGTTTCAGTCTAATTGTTATCATTTTTGCCAATAACTTATAGAGGTGGTCTAACAGAGTCGGAATTTCTCAAGGTGTGTTGGATCTCCATTTTTTTTGCAGTAAAATGATAAGTTTACTGTGTTCTCATAGGAAAAACAAAGAAACAACAGTTCCTTTATATTCTCTAAAGGCCTGTTCCCTTCAATCTCTGAGGTATCTATGACGATGTTATATTCTCCTGGAGCTCTTTATTTCGTCTTTTGATATATCAGGTATCGATTCCGATCCTTGGTTGACTAATCTTTTTCCTAATCTTTCTAACTTTTGTGTTAGTTGGTTAATGGATTTGTTGATTACTATATAATTATTTATAGAAATATTCTACTACCCTTAGTAATTCATCTCTCTTGGTTATAATATTTCGATCTTTATTCTATAATCTTGTTATTGCTTTTTTATGTGGTTTTATTACTTTGCACTTTTCTCCTCTTTTCTATTAATGCTTATGTTTGGGGACTTTTGTGGGGATTCTTCTGGCTTTCTCTACAGCTTCTATTTTAATGTTACTCAGAGTGTTGAAATTTATGTATGTATTCTTATTCGAAAATGCTGTTAATGTATTCTTTAAATGCATTTATCATATTAGGCTCTTTTCAGTAGGTGTGGACCTATTTTTTATCATGCAGTATCTCTCTTTCCCAAGGTTTACTTCTATCAATACTTTTATCATTCTGTGGTAAGTTGTACCATCTCTAATTGATATTATATTGAGAAGTTCTCCGTTTATTTAAACCTGAATTTGATTTATGACACTTTATATATGTTTTCCACAGTTTTGTTTAAATTATCTGGGATTTGACTATCATCGAAGAAATGTATAATGGCTTTCAGTTGGACAAGGTCGAATGCCCTCACTAAATCAATAAAACATATATAGGCATGCTTGTTTTATTCCATTTATTTTTCTGTTATTTGTCTTAGGACAAAACGGTATTTGTTCAAGATCTGTCTGATCGGATGTCCCTGGAACTGGGATATGTTCCTCGGAGGGGTAAAAATAGTTCTTTTACCCTATATTTGAAGAGCTATATCTCTGAACTCACTGGACCGATTTTAATTTACAAGATATTATTTTATTATTATAATAAATATAATAAATTATAACTTTTTTTAATAAATAATTTAATAAACAATCAATATTAATAAATACTGTTTAAGCGTTCTGCAGAGAAAATGCACTTTAAATAAAAAAGGCGGTCAAAAAAATAGTTAAAGATCCGGGCCAAGAAATTCAATAACTAGACATTACTGTATATATATATATATATATATATATATATATATATATATATATATATATATATATATATATAGGTAAGGTAAGTGAGCTAAACATTGACATGCTAAGACTTATTATTTTTTATTTTCTATTTAATACAAATACTACAAACATGTTTATGGTATAATTTCCAAATAATTATAAAAATAAAACAATCAAAAAAATGTATATTCTTCTTTCTTTTAAACAATTGCCAATTGGCAATATTTGGAACCTATACCCTTAATAAAGTAAGCTGTATGTATAATATGCCACAGTACTGTCAATAAAAGAAACAGGTTTTTTGTTAATAAAAATAAGTAGTAATATTGAACCTTAACATTTAAAAAACAAATGTGAGACATTTACTATTGTAAGACCCACACACTCTTCATGTACGTATTTACCACATGCAAGACATAATCTCATATCAGCCTGGCGGTCTTCATTACATACATTACAGAACCATGATTCACTACTTTTTAATTTCTTGTTTATTTTGTTTTCTTTATTTTCTTTCTTCAGATTGTCTTGTTTTTTTTTGATGTTTGCTTATTTTCTGTTCTTCCTGTTCTTTGTTTTTGTCTTTTGATTTTTCTTATTGTTTGGAAGGTTCTTTGTTACTTTTACCTTTGGGTGATTTTTCTATCGCTGTGAAAAATAAATCCTTCGTGAGTTCTTGAGCTTTGCTGTAAATTGCTGGTTTTCGCTTTGCATCAGTTATCTTGACTAGGGGCAAAATTAGTAAGCCCATGCCTTTAAAAGAAGTGTCTGGTTCTGTAACTTTTTCGGGAGTGAATAGTACCATATTTTTATCTTCGCTGTTTATATCATCAGATGTACTATCATAAATACTGAAATCTGATTCAAAATAAGACGACTCGCTATATAAACGAAGACGTTTTGTTGATTTTTTTTACTTATTCCACTTATGCAGGGACCGTTTTCATCAACTGTAGTAGTTGATTGCTTATTTACGTTTTGTGGTCGACGTCTAGTGGTTCTTCTAACACATTTTCTTCAATATGCGTTATAAGGCTGGGTGCAAATGCTGATTCAGGTATGAGTCTGGGTTAAAAAGAAATATTCCAGTTCCAGCTTTTAACCCAGAGATGATGTTAGCTGGTGTCATTTGTCAAAACTTTACTAAATATTTCACCAAATCGCATTTTTATTAAATTTTTTCTCAGGTGGAGTTATCAAAAAATTTAAAACCTCCTGATCCCAAAGAGACTCATAACTTTTGCTTTATCCATAGGCTGCAGTTCATGCGTGGTGTTACTTGGAAGACAAAATAAAGTAACACCTTAATTTTCTGCAGCTTCAACAATACTTATGTCCAGATGCGATTTGGCACCATCAAATATCAGGAGTGTGGGTCCTGTATTCCTATACTTTGCAAAATGTCCTAGCCATGGAAAATAAACGCCTTATTTGTCATGCTCTCTTTTTGTGTCATCATTACAGTTGATCCTGGTGGTAAATGATCATTTCATTCAGGTTTCAATCTCTTTCTTTTGAAAAGAATGAACGGTGGGATAGCTTGCCCCAGGGCATTTCCACAATCCACAATACTAACATTTTCACCGTTTTCAGGAGCTGTAAAGATACGTTTAGCATCTTTCTTGGCCAATACAGTTTGCTGTTTATGGATGGTTAGACGGCAACCTTTCTCGTCCATATTGTACACGTTTCCAGGTTTATCAAACAATTCCAACTTAATGAGTGCTTCCTCCAATTTCTTAAAATAATCCTTTACAATAAATGGATTCATTTTCTGTGCTCTTATTGGATTTATTTGCTGTGCCTTCCTTCTAGCCACATCGGATGTCTTGCAAAGAATAATTTCAGCCATTTCCTTTCTGCTAATTCAGATGTATTAGAAAAAGGATTATGAATGTTCATTATCATCGCGTACGAAAATACACTTCTTCTTACTATTTTACCAGTTATTGGCATGCCCACCTCTGCTAGTTTATGAATTCTGCGAACTAGATCTCTTTCTTTTTCAAAACTTAAAACACTTTTCCTTCCAAGTCGTTTAACCGAATTTTGGCTGCAATAATGTAGTCCAAGTGTTGTTCGAGGTATTTCATATCATAATGAAACTTGGCTTATACTGCTTCCAGCTCTTATTGGTTCTAACGCTGCAACGAGATTGGTCTCAAACCACAAGGTTTATTAATAAAAAGTAAATTTTCATGTAAGGTTCCAAATATTGCCATGGCACTAACTTTTGCTATATTTGATAAATTTAAAAATACTTGAACCTACTGGTTTCTGCCATTTTTTCCTTGTTTAGTTAAATGTTAATAATTAATTGAAAATCATACAATTTTGTAAGTGTTCTTTTCGTTCTTCCTGACCTAAAATAGAAAACTTATCTTTTGCGGTTTTGTAAATTATTTCATCAAAAAGTTAACATTATAGTAAAAAAAATTAGACCTTGTGAGTTAAAATCGGTCACTTAGCTCAGAGATGTAGCTCTTTGAATATAGGGTAAAAAGGGCTATTTTTGACCCTCGAGGGACATCTCGTAGCTAGAAGACTAAAAAGTAGCTATAGTCTACTTTTTTAAGGTACAATGAGTTGCTAAAATTTGGTAAAATCCGCGGACCGCCCCACCGCTGCAAAACATTTTAGGCTTTTTTGTACTGTTTTCTTTTTGCCAGATCTTTTAATTTATTAACTTTTAAATTGTCATGAGAAATATTTTCTTTGAAAACTTCTTTGATGTTTCTATTTTATTTACTTCATTTGTTATTAAATTTAAAGAAGAATATTATCTTATACACTTATACAGAAGTAAAAAAACTTCAAAATGTGTATATTGGTATTAAAACACCTAATTAAAACTTGTTAAAAGTATCGTCCAAAATTTATAGATACATATTGTTTTCGATCTAGCTATCGATCTAGCTAAACGTTATGTATCTATAAATTTTGGACCACACTTTCAATAAGTTGTAATTTCATGTTTTTACACTAATATACAAGTTTTAAAGTTTTTTGACTTCTGTATAAGTTTTTGAACTATGGTATACAGCCAACTACTTGGATTTTCGATTAATTTTTAAAAATATTATCTTCTTACAGCTGCAAGCTGTGTAGTTTGCGCACCAAAAGCCAACGATGGTGGAAGACATCGAGGAGTGATCGAGGAAGCAGATGTGCAGATCGGTGAAATCGTCAAACCATACATCGGCGAACGAAGACTGGTATCAAAGGCACTGCAAAAATTCCTTAAAGACTCCGATTACCAAGTAATAAAAGATCTTTCCCGTGATTTTAACAGACACAAGGACAAGTGCGAAGATATTGAAAAGAAAATGAATGTAAGTAATTTTTTGTTTGTAGTTCTTTACATGTACGAATTGTTATCAGTAATATTTTGTTCGTATTTCTAAGAGGTAACCAAATAATTCGTATTTTAAGTTGCCGTTTGTTTTCTCTTTTAGTTAATATTTGGTTATCTTTATATAAAAATCAAATCTAATTCTAATTGTATTTTTTCGATGTTTCTATCCAGGCAGCGGCGTATTTATCAGGTACCCACCACTGCGTGGCTGGTCTCTGATTTTACATTGTCAAGCTCGCAAACTCGACGATGCCTATTGCTTACTTGTCATAATGGTTGCACTAGGGATATATAAAGTTATAGTTATTCCGTGGCTTTCCACTTTATTATGCTGTTGACTACTTAGTAGTTTATCCTCCTTTAAAGCTGATTTCCCAACTCTAGTACAAAAGAGTGCTCTGCCACTTGTAAAGATCAAGATCATTACACGGGTAGGTGAGGCTAACATATGGATAAGAGGCGCTACATGTTGTCCATGACTGTCTCTTACATCTGAAGTTCAGCTCACAATACATTTAATGCATCTATTACACTTAAGTACTTTCTACGATGCAGGAAGGTAGCAGCAATAACTATAATATTGAAACCTGGAAAACAGTTAAATGAGATGTTAACATATCGACCAATATCATTTTTACCAATTGTATGAAAAGCTGCTTCTGTTAAACAAAACTTAAACCTATAGTAGAACAAAAATGTATTACCCCACTTCACTAATTTTGGTTTAGAAATAATCACGCACCAATAGATCAGGTCCACATAATATCTAATTAAAAAAAACACATTCTCTTCTTTACTATAATATTATTCATATCGTCTCTCCGTCCTATTTTACTAATAATTTAAAACAAACTTACTTACAGGACACCATCGAAGACCTCAGCGACTGCCTCGAAGGCATCTCCATTGGATCTAATACCGTCTGCTTCACCGTCAGACATGCAGTTGAAAAATGCGCCAAGCCAGTCATTGAATTAGTTAGCGGATGTTTGCCAGAAGAATCAAAAGAACTTCCCGCCTTAGTTGAAAGAATTAGTCTCGGTCTTCTCAAACAAGCTTGCAGTTCTACAGTAGAAGAAGTGTTGGGTAAGTTATTTTTTAAATTTTTTGGTTTTTGGGAATAAGGTGATTGTAAACATGCAGGAAAGATTGTGGATAAAGTAATATAATCTATTTCTGGATATCAATATTTGGTGTAAGCTGATAAATAAAATAACTATACTGTCGAATTGTAAAAGTTTATTAAACAATAATTATTAGCCTGAGAAACTAAGAATATTAATTAAACATGTGTAACCGTTATTACATATTTGAGAACATTGACATAACCTTAAAAACATAATTCTTCTTTTTCTTATATCTTGAATATTACATTAGTACGGGAGCTTATATTAACACTCCTACTTATTCAAGATTTGAATACAAAGACCTAATACAAAAGACATGAAAGCAAAGATCTATTACAAATTAACAAATACATAATTTAAATTGACAAATTTAACTTATTCAATAAATTGTTAAAAACTGTCTTTGACAATGCTTTTGTAAACAAGTCAGCTAACTGATTACTTGTATTGACATAGCTTACACAGATATTCTTGTTTTCACATTCATCTCGAACAAAGTGAACCTTAATATCAATATGCTTTGTTCTGCTATGAAATTGTTGTGCCTGTGTTATTAAACTTGAGGGCATCTATTTCCTCCTGCATTGCTTGTTGCCACTTGCTAGAGTCCTCAAGTTTAATAACACAGGCACAACAATTTCATAGCAGAACAAAGCATATTGATATTAAGGTTCACTTTGTTCGAGATGAATGTGAAAACAAGAATATCTGTGTAAGCTATGTCAATACAAGTAATCAGTTAGCGGACTTGTTTACAAAAGCATTGTCAAAGACAGTTTTTAACAATTTATTGAATAAGTTAAATTTGTCAATTTAAATTATGTATTTGTTAATTTGTATTAGATCTTTGCTTTCATGTCTTTTGTATTAGGTCTTTGTATTCAAATCTTGAATAAGTGGGAGTGTTAATATAAGCTCCCGTACTAATGTAATATTCAAGATATAAGAAAAAGAAGAATTATGTTTTTAAGGTTATGTCAATGTTCTCAAATATGTAATAACGGTTACACACGTTTAATTAATATTCTTAGTTTCTCAGGCTAATAATTATTGTTTAATAAACTTTTACAATTCGACAGTATAGTTATTTTATTTATCAGCTTACACCAAATATTTCATGTGTTGGAGTACGTAGAGATAATCTGTGGATCATGAAATTTAGAGTTAAGCCTATTGTAGAATATAATTTAGCTTGCAAATCATCAATAAAGTTATGGCATGATCGCCTAGGGCATATCAACTTCACTACAATTAAGAAAACAGCTAATTTGGTTGACAATATGAGAGTTGACAACAAAGAAGAATTTTTCTGTGAGACATGCCAGTATGGGAAGCAGTCAAGAAAGACCCATAAAAGTCTTACAAGAAGCAGATCAGACAAACCAGGTGAAATGATTCACACAGATGTATGTGGACCAGTAAACATTTCTTCTCCAAGTGGATCAAAATATTTTGTTTTATTTAAGGTTATGTCAATGTTCTCAAATATGTAATAACGGTTACACATGTTTAATTAATATTCTTAGTTTCTCAGGCTAATAATTATTGTTTAATAAACTTTTACAATTCGACAGTATAGTTATTTTATTTATCAGGTTATGGTTGCCCAGACACGGTATTACGAAATTTGAAAACTAGCCTGTCGTTCACACCGGTGCGTGGTATAAAAATATATACGTCCATGTGGTAAAAGTTGTTTCACGTTTAAGTCGTGAGTTTCCCGTGTTTATTTTTCGTTACGTTCGAGTCGTACAATTATAAAATAAACATTTAGTGAAGTGCAAAAATGGCCTCAGCTGTGAAAATTGGTTCTGGGAATATTACTAAATTTGATGGGTCAAATTTTCAACTATGGAAATTTAGTGTGACCATTTTGTTTAAAGCAGAGAAACTGCTTCCAATTGTGAATGGAACAGTTACAGAACCAGAAGACCACACTAGCAGTGACTGGAAAGAATGGGATGACAAAAATTCAAAAGCACAAGTAATTTTGTTATCCACTATATGTCAAGATCAAATACAACATTTGATAAATTGCGAAAATGCTTTAGAAATGTGGTCAAGACTGATCACAATACACGAACAAAAGACAGAAATATCTAGAGAGTTGCTATGGCAAAAATTTTATGAATATAAAATGCATGAGAATGCAAAAGTTGCAGAGCATATATCAACAATAGAATTATTAGTTAGACAGTTAAAAGATGTTAAAGAAACTATTAGTAATAGTGCTGTTTGTTCCAAAGTAATTAATAGTTTGCCTCCTAGATTTTTCGTACAGCCTGGGCCCATAACCTGATAAATAAAATAACTATACTGTCGAATTGTAAAAGTTTATTAAACAATAATTATTAGCCTGAGAAACTAAGAATATTAATTAAACATGTGTAACCGTTATTACATATTTGAGAACATTGACATAACCTTAAAAACATAATTCTTCTTTTTCTTATATCTTGAATATTACATTAGTACGGGAGCTTATATTAACATAAGCATATGATTCCATAGATTGCTTAAAACTGTGGAGTGCAATGATGGAGTTAGGCGTACCAAAGAAGCTGCCCGTGATTGCGCGAATGTGTGTCAACAATTCCTTTGCACAAATTAGAATAGGAGGCAAAACTTCAAAGGCTTTCGGCATAAACACCGTGCTCAGACAGGGAGACCCGCTGTCCCCATTACTATTTAACCTAGCATTGGAATACGCAATGCGAAAAATCTATACCAGAGTCAAACCAAACATAACTGCCAGAGGAGCAAAGATTATTCTCGCATTTGCAGATGATGTAGATGCAGTAGCACAGACAACACTGGAAGTTAAGGATATAGTATCGAATTTTAAAGAAGCAACACTAAGCGTAGACCTGAAAATAAACGAAGAAAAAACTAAATACATGGTCGTATCAAAAAAGGAACGACAGCGAATAAGACAAAACATTACCATAAACGATCATAATTTTGAGGTGGTCAAAGAATTCAAATACCTAGAAGCAACAATTACCAGTGAAAACACAGGAGAACGGGAGGTTGAAATACAAATACTGGCGGGGAATAAATCATTCTTTGCCATTCAACATCTAATGAGGTCAAAGCTTCTCTCAAGGCGTGCCAAAGTCCATACAAAACCATAATACGACCAGCAGTGACATATGGAAGTGAAACATGGACATTGAGAAAGAAAGAAATTAATAAGCTACTAATATGGGAACGCAAAATCTTGCGAATTATATATAGTCCTTGCAGGGACAGCGTAACAAATGAATGGAGGAGCAGATACAACAATGAAATAGAGACTCCCTTCGGGAAAGGAAACATCGTAAGATACATAAAAGCCAATAGATTAAGATGGGCAGGCCACGTGGTACGGAGTGATGACGACAGACTGATTAGCAATGTGCTTTAGGAAAGACCAGATTGTAAAAGATCGACAGGAAGGCCTAGAAAAAGGTGGAAAGACGCAGTCAGGGAAGACCTGGAGAAGATGGAAGTAAGGCCATGGGAAATAATAGCACAGGATCGGAATCAATGGAAGGCAATAGTAAACGCGGCAAAAACTCACGAAGAGTTGTAAAAGCCAATGATGATGAATATTTGGTGTCAGTTTTACTTAGCCATTGGACCAATACAATCAAGGGGTTTCCACTTTAAACTTTATCATCTTGTAATGTAGCAATGTTTATATATATATATATATATATATATATATATATATATATATATATATATATATATATAAAACACTGACTACTGTAAATTTTAAAATTGAGAAAATTTCAGCTCTCATGACACATTAAAATAATTTCAGCTCTTCCAAGTTTGTTTAATTTTCTTGAGCAGAAATCCTTTTCCTTATTTCTTGAGCCCTTCTCAGGGCGTGATGACACTCTAAATATTATTAGCTTGCGGTCTTCATTGTCTGCGAATCTGTGGTCTACCCATTTGATCTACCCATCGTGTTGGAGATGTCCCTCTTGATCTTCGGCCTTTTGCCTTTCCCTCTACTACCAATAGTTTCATGGTCCCCGTTCTAATAGCTATGTAGCAGAAGTAAATAAGGTATGATCGGTTTACTATTTTTAATTGCCTGTCTTTTATATGAAGCTCTTTTAGATTTGACAGGTTGTTTCTACGTTCTGTCCAGAACACGCGTAAAATTCTTCTACAAACTTACATTTCGAAGGTTTAGATCTACCTTCTATTGATTTTTTTAAATCCTTGTTCATCTGGGTATGTAGCAATGGCAAAAATAAAGACATTGACAAACCTGAGCTTAGTATTCTTTGTCATTTTTCGGTTTTTTCTTATTTTAATCAATTTAGATATTGCGGTTGGGGCCATTGCTAGTCTACGCTAGATTTCTGAGGACCAATTGCCATTGTTGGTTATCAGGGAGCCCAAGTATTCAAATCTGTATACCACTTCGAAATTCGCCACTGGGTGTATGTGCGTATGTATGTATTGTTTTTCCGGTGTTGATCTAAAGTCCGAATTCTTTTTTATCCGGCTTAGCCGTACAGTGATGGTTATTATTCCGACTTAATTCACCGCTAGTATAAGTGTGTCATCTGCGTATCGCAGGTTGCTGATTTTTCTGCCTCCTATAGTGATTCCTAGCATGAATACCAAAAGAAAAATAAAATAACTTACGGTAAATGTTGGGTTTGTTTCACTATACCTTTTTGACTGCAATCTATACTGATCCTTTGAATAGGAAATAACTAGGTGGGACTGCTTCTGGCTCAAAGTAGGAAGCCATAGAATTAAAAGAAAACCATAACAGATTTCTCGAAATGAAAACTCAAAAATATCTAACACCTATATTGACAAAGCGGTGTTCGGTGAGGAGACAATTATATAAAATACTTCCAAAAACACAACTATACCATTCAAATGTATACTCAAGCAATCACAGCGCCGATTGTACTGGTGTTGCTCAATGGCTCGCTGCCAGGCCAGACTGATTTCAAAATGAATGCTTATATCGCATCAATGATCTCTATTTGGTACAATTCTACCATTTTAGCACGCTTATTTTATTCTGAGGCAATCTGACTCTGTAAATAAATATTTACAGAGCCTTCTCGTTCCAAATTATTTTCTCTACCAAGTGTTTCTCTGTCGAAGATTTGCAATACGCAAGTTAAAACCTTAACAATTTTTTTATGATATAGGAGTAGAAGAAAAAATGCTGCAATTAAATGCTTGTCGATAGAGATTAAATGAGACACACTTCTACGTTGTGAACTTTGATTTTATTGATTCCGTTAAACATAATTTTGCTCCAAGTTACTGCGTCTAATTGGTGGCATCTAGTGGTGTTTAAGAGTCAAAATGCAACTGAAAATAAAAAATTAATTTTCTTAGTATTTCTATAGAACTTTGTATATCACGTATTAACCAATCAAAACCTGAATAATCAAACATAAAATTATCATTTTTACTTATTTCAGAATTGTTCAATCCATGCCAATGGAAGAGTTTTAATAATCTTGAAAAAATTGATTCCTGCAATAACCTCATGACTGAAGTAGAAAGTTGGGATCACAAGAATCCACTTCCTACCACTGAAAACATTTGCAAGTGAGTATTTTTTTTATTTTACAATTATAAATTTACTTTTATTTATTTAATTGATTTTATTGTTAAATTAGTCAAATTTGTTCTTTACTTCAAAGTAAATATTCTAGAATTGAGAAAATGGTCAATCTGGAAGACAATGCTCACAAAAATAAGGATGTTTTAAGTTCGTTATCAACAAAATAGTTGGTGTCTGTTAGATGAGTTATTATTTTTGTTATAGGAATAGTATCTATATTTGCAAAATTGTAAGAAGTAGACTTACATACCCAAAATAATTTTAAATGGAACATGAATAAGTTCTGATATTGGAAAACAACAAATTGTAGCATATATGACACCTTTGTTAAAAGTAGTCTAAGCTATAGTGCAAATGAATGTGTTCAATACTTGTGGACAATACTTAAGCATATCCAGAAAGAACAGCATTAGAAAAAAATATTTTAGTTAGCAATTAATGCTAAATATTTTAGGGATGTCCAATGGACTAACAGAAATTTTTAAAAGTTGAGTATTAATGTAAACATATGGTTTAGTAGAAAGATGTATCTGTATAGCAGAAAATATAAATACTACAGAATAATAAATTTCATACTATATATACAGGAGATGCAGGATTTGGTACAAATCATCAAAACAGAAACAATACAGAAATACCGACAAAACAAATCATAATGTTTAAAAACAATAATTAAGAATTTTTGATAGCGGATTTTTAACGAAATTTCTTGTAATTTCTTCGCTAGTGAACAACTAGTTTAAACTATGTTTGCTAACCAAAAGATGTTTTGATTTCAGAGCTTTGCCCAAACTCAAGAAATGTTCCTCCGATTTCCACGGACAGTACTGCAAGAACCCCGTGACCCTGAGCTCCTTCGCCAAATTCCACAAGTCCATCGAAGACCAGACTGAAAAAATTTGTCACAACCCCGTCAAAAACGAAGTCGCTTAATTTATGAATATTAGTTTTTGTTAAATATATTTTATACTGTTATTTTTATCACTTTATCTTTTATTTTTGACCAGTTTTACATTTTTTTAAATAAATAAACCTACATCAATTCTAAGTCGGCTGGCACACCGGAGCAAGAAGCAACCAGCAATCCGCAATATGCAACTTCTTCTTCTTCTTCAGTACCTTATGCGGTCCGGATGTTGGCGATCATCAAGGCTATCATGGTTTTATTGACTGCTCTGCGAAACAGCTCCGCTGAGGTCATCTAAAACCATTGTCGGAGATTTTTCAAAGACGAGATATGACGGCGTCCCGGTCCCCTTCTGCCAAATACTTTACCCTGCATAACGAGTTGAAGAATTCGATATTTTTCTTCGTTCCGCATCACGTGGCCGAGGTACTCAAGCTTACGTTGTTTAATTAAATTAAGCACTTCTTTTTCTTTTGTCATGCGCTGTAGGACCTCAACGTTGGTGACATGATCCACATAAGATATTTTTAGTATCCTTCTGTATATCCACATCTCGAAGGCTTCGATTCGTTTTTCAGTGGCTTGCGTCAGTGTCCAGGCTTCAACTCCATATAGTAACACTGGAAGAACGTAGCACCTCACTATCCGCATCTTGGTTCCCAAACTGAGATCACTGCAGCACAGAAGGATCTCAACTTAATAAATGTAGACCGTGCCATTGCAATTCTGGATCTAATCTCTTGAGCGTAGTCCCATTGTACGTTGAGGGTAGTTCCGAGGTAAGTGAATCTGTCGACTCTCTGTATCTCTTCGCTACCTGCCATTAGTTCCCCGGGATCTAAATTTGTACGGCTGACAACCATGAATTTAGTTTTCTTGATATTGAGGTTCAGTCCGTATGTTACGCTCACAGTTCGCACTCGGTCTAGTACGGCCTGCAGATCGTTTAGGCTAGTTGCTAGTAACACAGTGTCATCGGGGTAGTGGATATTATTGATGTATTCACCTTCACTCGCATTCCCATGTCTAGGTTTGTGAGGGCTTCATTAAAAATCTCCTCAGAGTATATATTGAAAAGAGTCGGCGATAGCACACAATATGGAACAGGCAACATATTTTGTTGGTACTCGCATACCAAAGAAATTAAAATTACTTATTCAAAATGTCGTCTGATGAAAACGAAGTGGTAATGTTGTGGCAAGTTTTGAGAAGGAAAGGAAAAAGGAGACGATATTTAATTTATCCAGCATTTGAAGCGTTGAGTAAACATAGAGTGAGTATTTCTGCTCAAAGATTGACGCATCTCACACAGTTTTAAAAAGAGGTTATTGAATATCTGATGAAAACGAAGTGGTAATATTGTGGCAAGTTTTGAGAAGGAAAAGAAAAAGGAGACGGTATTTAATTTATCCAGCATTTGAAGCGTTGAGTAAACATAGAGCGAGTATTTCTGCTAAAAAATTGACGCATCCCACACAGTTTTAAAAAGGGGTTGGTTATTGAATAAGTCCGAGTACTTTTGAAACGTTAGTTCAGCTGATAGTACATCATATTACTAAACATAACACCAATTACAGATATGCAGTCAGCTCACAGGAGAAACTTTTATTTACATGAAGGTAAGATAAAATTAAAAAAACTTACATAAAAAAGTATATTAGTGAAAAAAAGTAAAAAATAAAAATTTATACTATAGTAGTATTAAAGACGAATTCCTATCATCATCAACTGATGACATGTTGGGTGAACAATTCTGAATAAATGCTTCAGTGCTGAATTGTGTAATTGGAAGCATTTGATTGAATTGAGTAGCTGCAGTAGGCAGAGCTCGGGATTGGTATTACTTCGAATAAATTGTTTTGCAATGGATTATCGCACAATAGTTCATCTAGTGTCTCAAGGTTCTTTTTAAAACTGCTTCCTTTGATAACAGTTTAATTTTGCAATATCAGGAATCTAACTTTTTGAAAATGCCAAATGTGGATTATTATTTTCTTCTGTACAACCTGTTTTTAACTTCATATATTCTATAAAACACTTGTCAACTTCATTAAGGATATTTGGTGAAACATTTTATTGCTTGCATTATTTTGAATGCTTGCATTATCTAAAAACTGAACATGAGTGGATTCATTTTCCTCCTCTTGAGGTTTGTTATATGTCACATCCTGGGAGTTTGTAACAGAGTCGATAATTTGAGATAGATCAGATTCAGTCACTGTTTTCTCGTAAAATTAGCTCTGTTTCGGTAGGTAAATTATCTGTTGCGCTTTGGATTTCGTTAAAGTAATATGTAACTGCACCCCTACTTTTAAATTATAATCTTTAGTTCTTTTAACTTTGCTTTCTGATGGTGGTTTTTTATACTTCTCGAAAATTTCGTCTAAAGATTATTCCATTTTTCAATGAGAAAATGAAAAATAAATCTAATTGTAGAAAATTTTCGCTGCTATTTGGCTACAGGACAGGATGCACTTTCAAGGCGCTCACCCATATATTTATGAGATAAGAAACTATTATAGGATTGGTAGAAAAATAATGTACAAAGGCTATATGGAATGTTCTCTAACGGCTATATACGCCTGTTCCGACAGAAGCCATTTGAAAATAAGCAGCACAATGATACTATGAGTTGTGGTACCATAAGCTCAATCAATGTACGCATTGTCGAATAAATAAATTTTCCAATACTGGATCACATTTTTTTCGCTGGTTCTGATTGCCTGCGCTAATGCTGATGAGATATTTATAATAATTGATGTTTTAAAAGCAGGTAAAATGCTTATATTGTCACCGGAATAAGGAAAAACTTCTTACTCCAGTAGTTACACTATTACCAAATGACAAGCTCAATTTTTCATTTTACTTTGTGGGAGATTAAGCGTTTTCGTTGGTAAGCGAAATGCTTACCAACTTTCTACTGCAACACAAACTGTATGCAATGAACACCTTTTTTAAGAAGAAATAGAATAGAAAATGGACGTGGGCTAGTCCAGACGGAAGAACTAAGAGCGAATATGATTATATAATAACAGACAAAAAGCAAATTATTCAAGATGTCACTGTACTCAATAAACTATCAATAGGAAGCGACCACAGACCAGTAAGAGCTAGAGTAACGATAAATCTACAAAAAGAAAAAACAAAGATGAACAGTTGCAAACGCATAGTTTGGAATTCACCAAATCATCCAGAAGCATACATAAAAAATATAGCCGAAACTTTACAAAGTAATAATATTAAACCTCTAAGTATCGACGATCACAATAAATTAATATCAGACTTGGTTAGAAATGCACAACTCAAATTTTGCAAAAAAAATGACACCAAAAGTGAAAAGATTAGCAAAAATACAAAAGCTCTCATGGAAATACGACGAAACCTAAGCGAGAACGAAAAGGGAAACAAAGAAGAATATAAAAAACTAAATAAAAGAATTTCAGCGGAAATTAGAAAAGATGTAAGAAGATATAATACTAATGTAATTACTCAAACAGTAGAAGAGAACAAAGGTTTAAAGATAATGAAAAGAAAACTCACACAAAGTAAAAAAGAAATATACAAGCTGAGAGATAAAGACGGAAAGGCAACAACAGATAAACAAAACATTCTGAAAATAACCAGAGAGTTTTATAAAGACCTCTATACCAGCCAAAGACCACAAGACAATTTCCCGACACGAGTAAAGACTCTCATAAATCAGGGATCGGAAATACTTTTACCCATTACTGTGTCAGAAGTAAGAGCAGCTTTAAAGGAAATGAAGAACCATCGATCGCCTGGTGATGATGGACTCGTTATCGAGGCAATAAAAGCAGGAGGAGAAATTTTATTAAAATCAGTAAGCGAACTGTTTAATAAATGCTTACATGCGCGTACGATTCCAAAAGACTGGAACAATGCAGTAATAGTCTTGTTACACAAAAAAGGCGATATTACTAAATTAGAAAATTATAGACCCATCAGCCTCTTGACACATATGTACAAACTCTTTATGAAAATCTTAACAAAGAGGCTAACACCTAAACTTGATTTCTATCAGCCCAAAGAACAGGCAGGCTTCAGGGCAGGATATGGCACAAATGACCATTTGCATACCATAAAGATCTTAATAGAAAAGTGCATCGAGTACAACATACCACTGGTTCTTGCATTTGTCGATTACGAGAAGGCTTTTGATTCTGTAGAGTTTGAAACAATACTGGAAGCCCTAAATCAAAGCCGAATAGATTACAGGTACACGACACTAATCAAAAACATCTACGAGAACGCTACATCAAGTATACGACTACACGAAGATACAGAAAAATTCAGCTTAGGTCGAGGAGTTAGACAAGGAGACAATATTTCACCAAAATTGTTCACGGCAGCTCTAGAGTCAATATTTAAGAGCACTCAATGGCAAGATATGGGCATCAATATAGATGGAGAAAGATTAAACCACCTAAGATTTGCAGATGATGTTGTATTAATCGCAGATAATTTACAAGATACAGTTTCTATGATGCATTCGCTTAAAAGTCTGTCTGAAAGAGCAGGATTAAAGATAAACTTTGAGAAAACTAAACTTATGACAAATCTCGTAATGAGTGGAAATATAACTATTGACAATAATAACATACAACAAACAGACACTTACAAATATCTGGGACACGAAATCAAAATAAGCAGAGACAATCAAACACATGAAATACAGAGGCGAATAGGCCTAACTTGGGCAGCATTTGGCAAATTAAGCCATATTCTAAAAAGTTCAATTCCCATGTGTCTCAAGCGAAAGGTTTATGACCAATGTGTTTTACCTGTACAAACTTATGGAGCGGAGACTTTAACACTCACGCAAAAATCTGCGAATAAACTCAGAGTTACGCAACGAGCCATGGAACGTGCAATGCTGAACGTGAGCCTTCGAGACCACATAACAAACCAACAAATCAGGCAAAGATCAGGAGTTCAAGACGTCATCGAAAGAACCACGTCGCTTAAGTGGAACTGGGCAGGGCACTTAGCCAGAGCACAAGATGGACGGTGGACAAGACGTATTATGGAATGGAGGCCCAGAAACTATAAAAG